TGTGTGTGTGTGTGTGTGTGAGAGGAGAGAGCTCTCTCTGGGTGTTGGGCAAGAGTCAGAGGTTGGATTTTTGGCGCTTCTACCTGCTGCTGCTTGATAGACTGACACCAGCGGGTGTAGAAAGCCTGCTGGACTCAGTCTGCCTGTGCAACTGCTCTGAGGACTAAAGCTCAGCATCACGGCCTCCTTTCCGGGCCTCTGATGCTGCCACCAGCTATTCACTGTAGAAATGCCAATATCAGAAGAGAACCTTTTTTTTGTTGTTGTTGTTTATTTCTTTGAGATTTCAGATCCTGTGTGGAAATAGTTTAAGATGATTTTAGAAATGAATTAAAGTGCTTTTTTCAGAACTGCAGTTTTCTCTTACTGCTAACCAATTCATAAAAACACGTTAAGATGTTATACTAGCTGTACTTCCAGCTTGACACATTTTTTTTTCTTTATAAAGATTTACGCTGGATGCTCTTCCTGCTGCACTGTGACCCCTTGAGGCTGGGTTTGTCACTTACTCTCAAACCCTGTAAGGTGAATTTGTCAACCTCTACACTGCAGAAAATCCACCCATTTTCTTCAGCTTATCAAATTCATGGTCATGGTGGAGACTACCCCGGCTGTTATAGTGCGAGGCGTGTGATACTTGGAGTGACAGGCCACCATTCACGCTCACAGTCACCTACGGCTAATTGTGTAAGGAAGCTGGAGAACATGCAACTCTTGGATTTTAACCCAGGGCCTATGCTTATGCTATGCTAACCACAGCACCACCGTGCCACACAAGTTAACCATCTCTGCTCTGGGAGTGCACAGCGCTGAGATGGTGCAGCTCGTCCACACGGACTTAAACATTTTTGTGGGAGGAAAAGGTGTTAGAGTACCCTGAGTGGTGATTTGGAAGAGTTTACCAAAACACAAACCTGTACTGGGATATCACATCCCAAGGAACCTGTCTTTGGCAATCTGAACTGATTATATACATTTTAGAGCATCCTGATGGTTACTTTATTTTTGCCTCCCAATAGTTTTGTTTTTCAAATGATCCAGCTTCTTTTATATTATGGAATATATAATGTATAAAACGTTGCTCGGTCTTACTGAGTACTTTCAAACGGGGTCTGCATTCTGGTCAGTCTTTAATGATAATCCTGATATCTGATCAGGGTAGTTCCAGCCTTCAAATAGAGAAAAGAGGAGGAAAAAAAGAAAGTTGCTTTCCCTCCTGAGCTCAGATTTTTGTACTTGGTGAATGAGCGATTACAAAGTACAGTTGATAGTGGTTTATCAGTTTATTGATTACATGGCATTTTGTTATGAATCCCATACTAGGAAGCAGTACATTACTTCAATTTTGGTGTAATTAATATTCAGTATGTATAACAATCCCAGCAAAATGATTTGCAGGGTAACTTGACTGCATGAGACTACATTATTTGTTTTCCTAGTTTCTGTGTATTCTGCTCAGATGACCTGAACACACAGCATCACTTCAGTTTAATTTAGCATCTCACAGGTAACATTTCACCATGGATTCATCAAAGAAAGGAACAACTGTATAATATAGATCACAAAAACATTGGGTTATGTTCTATGTCGTCTCTGCAATGTAAATGTTGAGGGCTAGGTTGTGAGAAGAACGCATCTGTGGGGGGGAAAAAAAGACTTTCTCAACTTAAGAAACTAGTACAAGTTTCGAGCAGCTACAGTTAGAAAAGTAAACAAGCTTCTTAGATTTTAAAGAGTCATTGGCAGCAGTTATTGAAATGTTAGCAGGAAAAGAAGAAGCCACATACTGAAAATATGCCAGCATTATACACAGAGCAGTTCTAACTACATGCCTACTGTTTTATTTTTCATACAGTGCATGAAGCAACTCCAATCTGCTGTGATCAGATATATAGTCAGCGAAGTGAGCAGCTTATAAAGTCTAGAGTTATTTTTATCTTGCTGTCGAGGGTAAGAAAGTAAATTGTCGTTTCAAGACAACGACAATTTACTTTGTCGTTGCAAACACACACTCTTCCTGTTTTTTTCTTTCATCACGATTTGCATACAGAAGAATGACAAATTAAAGGCAAAACCAAAATAAGGCCGTTCTGTTTAGATGACCACATGACCAACCAGAGCAGCCTCAGCGTGCCCTGAGATCTCCGGAGCTCTGCTGCAGGGATGAAACATCTTCCCAAAAGTTATTCCCTCGTTTAGTATTTAAATGATGATGGAAAGCCTAACGTGAAACTTCAACAAGGAAGATCTGCTCATCAACCTGCTTTCCGGGGTGTTAGGCTGCTTTTTGTTCTCTGCATCACTCCCTCTAGTCCAATCATCTTCTTGTCTGCCTTCTTTGAGCCAATCAACCTCCACTTTCCGTGGTTTAAAACTGTGCTGTCTGTCATTCTCCCTTTCAGACTCATTTGTGCAACCACCCCCATTTCCACCTTACAGACACCTCAGTCAGCGCTCCAACCAAGCTTCGTCTTCATCTTCGCCACCACCAGGGTCTAGACTCTTGGGGGTCCTGCCCTAAATCCTATCACTGCCGGGTGATAGGATTTAGGGTAATTATGTAATCTTGGAAGAGAACCACTCCCATCATGGTGGACATGTTTCATCCTAGGATAAAGGAGATTACACAAACAAATTCATATTGATTTCGAGCAACCCGACAATCCAAGGGGACATGAGCCATGCCAGGAAAACAGGGGCAGGCACTTCATCACCCCACTGTGATGACTGCAACAACAAAGAAATGAAGCTGCATCAAAGGACTTGCCAAGTAGGTGTTTTACAAAGTGGCTGTCTTCAAGTGCCTCTTGCCCAGAATTCCTTACAAAGATTAAAGAATCATCAAACAACGTGCCGATGACACAACTAGCTCCTCAGGCTGTGGCTTGCTTTTTGCTTTGGACACTCTCTGTGGCGTTTTTCTTCTACGGAGGTGAATGGTTCAAGTCATCCAAATACCAGCTGAGTCAAGTTTGGATAAGCCGCCAGTTTTTTTCCTTTCATGTGCCACCTGTCTGTATTTCTAAAATTTTAGTCTACATATACTGCCATCCATTTCCCATGCCCTAAATATTTACTGCTTTGACTGAAGCCGGCAAATAGAAAGTGCTCTTTGCAAAGAAAAAAGAAAAAAGCTCAGAAGTCTGTCTAGCTTTTTACAAGGCAATGTTAATAAATCGAGCCGAGCCTAAAGTATGTAGTCTATCTCTGAGTACAGCGTGTCTGTCAGGTCCTCTTCACTCGGGTCCTCTTCACTCGAGTCCTCTCCTTTCAGGCACATTGACCCTCTTCTGTGGAGGAAAAAAAAGAGAGAATACTACAGCATCATACATACATAAAACTTTAATATTTTTGGGGTACCGGTATTTTAATCTGTTTTATGTGATTATATGTACTGCACTCACCCCAGGTCTTGACAGTGGAGATCTCCTGCACAGGGGCAATATTTCCTGGGTCCCTCATCTTGCGGGCCCCAGGACAACAACTCAGTCAGGTGGTTTGAGGCACCAAAGCAGCGCTCACGTTCAATAGGCTTGGCCGAACAGACGGGGAAGAGGAGGACTAATCACCACACAACACAAAAACAAAGGTAAGTTCTCTGGGGGTGTGTAGGTAGTGACTGATAAACACATGCTGTACTACACATACCGTTATGGAAAGCACAGCAGAGGTCTGGGCTGCAGTCAGTCTGGTATTGACAAGTGCTTCCGGCCTCTCCCTTGGTTGCATTTTGGCTGCACTGGCCCCACACACAGAGCTGTTCGCCACAGCACTCTGCATCCTTAGTGCAGGACTAAGAAAAGTAGCATTTGAGCAAACAGCCAACAATTCAGCAGGCAGCCCTTCTCCTAACACAGATGCTTTAAAAGAACATGCACCTCCACTGTAACAACACTGAGATTCCTGGGAGAATTACATTATACATGCTTCCTTTAGGCAATATCATCAGAAAGCATAGGATACATTTTCATTGCTGTGCAGATGACACCCAACTTTATCTATCCATGAAGCCAGATAACACACACCAATTAGTTAAACTGCAGGAATGTCTTAAAGACATAAAGACCTGGTCGACCTCTAACATTCTGCTTCTAAATTCAGATAAAACTGAGGTGACTGTACTTGGCCCTAAAAATCTTAGAAATCCAGTTTCTAACCAGATTCTTACTCTGGATGGCATTACCTCGGCCTCCAGCAACACTGAGGAATCTTAGAGTCATTTTTGACTAGGATATGTCCTTCAATGCACATATTAAACAAATATGTAGGACTGCTTTCTGCCATTTGCACAATATCTCTAAAATTAGAAATATCCTGTCCCAGAGTGACGCTGAAAAACTAGTTCATGCATTTATGACTTCTAGGCTGAACTACTGTAAATTGTTTTTATCAGGATGTTCTAAAACTCCCTGAAAAGCCTTCACGTGATCCAAAATGCTGCAGCAAGAGTCCTGACAGGGACTAGAAAGAGAGAGCATATTTCTCTTATATTGGCTTCCCTTCATTGGCTCCCTGTTAAATCCAGAATTGAATTCAAAATCCTGCTCCTCACATACAAGGTCTTAAATAATCAGGCTCCATCTTATCCTAATGACCTTATAGTACCATATCACACCATTAGAGCACTTCACTCTCACACTGCAGGCTTACTTGTTGTTCCTAGAGTATTTAAAAGTTGAATGGGAGGCAGAGCCTTCAGCTTTCAGGCACCTCTTCTGTGAAACCAGCAGTTTATATTCAGGACACAGACACTATCTATGCTCTTAAGATTAGGCTTAAAACTTTCCTTTTTGATAAAGCCTATAGTTAGGGCTGGATCAGGTACAATATAAAGTGCCTCGAGGCAACTGTTGTTGTAATTTGGCGCTGTATATATAAATTTGAATTGAATTGTATTGAGCACAAATGGCGTTAATTATTCTCCAATCCTGCTGACTTAAAGAATATATATAAATATATAAATGAGATCAGCAGGTCAGCTGATCTGTGATTGCAGTGGAAAGAGATCCTAATATCACATCTTTAAGACACTGCAAAGTCACAGTTTTCCACGTCAGCGACTTTGAGAAGACACAGATCCTGTCCTCTGTGCATTTATCCTCCCTCTACCCTTGTTTGGCAGGCTGCCATCATCTTCCACTGCTTTTTTCATACGTCAACATCAACACTAATATATCCAATTGAGACTCAGCTGAACAAGCAACACAGGTAGAACAGAGTCCTGAATAAAACCAATGAGATAAGAGGACTTTGATTTGAATCGCTTTTGTTCTCTATGTTCTCTGAGAGAGCAGATGGAAGGGAAGAGCTCATATTTAACCTGCCCCCCTTTCATGAGATGCTCACAGGACAGAGTGCTTGGAAACAGCACACTCCAATTACACTTGTGGACGCACTGCAATGCAGTCGGTGTGAAACCTCAGCAGGCTGGATGTAAGAGCGCATCGTGTTGTGCGTGTTGGAAAGCGTCAGACAGGAGAAACAGTGCGTTTTAGAGAAGAATTATGAAAACAGTGAAGACGTCCACAGAAAAGTCTCTTAGGTTGACTCACCATATCGAGCGCTTTACATGGCAGACACTTGGCATTATGTGGGTCGTGAAGGCAGTACCTTCCCTTTCCACAGTCATCGTCACTGATGCATCCCTAAATACGAGAGAGGCGAGACTACATCAGGCCAGCTCGTTTTTCTAATTACATTTAAATATTAAATATGGGTCTGACAGCTCTAGTCAGAGAAACCCTTAACTGAATACACATTCACAACACAGTACAGTTGAAGGTGTTGAAGCACAAAACATATATTTTAATGCGGCACCTTCTCTGGTTTTATTTATTATTTAGACTGACGCCTGACCTAGTTTTTCTGTTCTGTGTCTAACATCAAATCACCCAACAGATTTTGCCAAAATAAACGGTGAGACAGCGTGTAAATGTAGCAAGAAGCTAACCACATAAATGGAGATTCTTTTACTCATACAGGAAAAACTAGGCTGATATTTTGGACTGATGCTTTTATTAGTTGCACTGTGACACTCCGAGCCACAAAACTTGAGTTATCAGAAAGCTACCCAACTGGATTTGACAGTTAATCACCATATGTCCCAAACTGCTTGGTTACATAACCTCACTTTGTGTTTGCAGCTTTAGTCCTAAAGCACATAATCATCACTTATTTAAAAATGACAAGCCTAGTAGACCATTTGAGAATTGACATCTTTACCACTTATTTGTACACAGGAAAAGGGCCGAATGGAGACAAAAGTACGCTTTTGATTCGTTTGCTGACATAGTGCCAAGTCAGTGGCTGTGATGGTGCACCAAGACATTATGCAACCTCTTCAGTGATGATAACCGAGCAGCTGAAGGTCATACAAAAGCTAGATTTCTTTTTGAACGTGCAGGTAAACAGGACGGGCTTACGTGATCGACTCTGTTCTCCAGGTCGTTAGAACTGTCGACTGTGGTAATGTTGTTTGTCTCCTGGGTGAAGATGGGACATACATTAAGTTTCAATCACAAGGGGAAACAAACAGTGCCTCACTTTACTTTACTGTTTCTTAGCCTACCTGGTCTTTATCAGTCACTTTATCAGAAGCATTTGCATTGTGAAGACTCGACTGAGAGTTCTCCTCATTTATCTGAAAGGATTTTGGAGAGGATCAAAGCCAGATTTCAGGAAAAAAGATGCATAACTCTGATGTTACTTTATTGCTGCATCTGATCTTCATTTCTGTCCAGAGATTGAAGTGTTTTAAAAAAAATACTTTCATCATACAACCCACTGAGATCCTACATACTACAGGCAGTTAGGTAATGCTATATGTCATGTAAAAAGCTGAGTGAGAGGTGCAACTGGCTGCTTACTTGGTGAAACGAGTCCTCGGGCTTTTGCTGTGGATCCTCTGGCAGCTGCTCCACTTCCACAAATACGCTGTCCGGCTCCGCTTGTCCCTGTGCAGAGTCATTCTCCAGGATGTGACTAATGCCCGGGTCCACTATCTCAGGGAGGATGCCATTGCAGACTGCTGTGACAGCCAAAACGAGCAGGATGGCTGGCACCATGCTGCTGCTGAGGATGCTGCTGCTGCACTCCGAGGAGGGTGTGGCAGTGATGCTGAGAAACACAAACAGCGTCACCACAGCTGATGTTTCCGTCACTGCAGGGTTTTTTCATCAAACCTCCACATTCATGACGGCCCCTTAACAGGTGAAATAACAATAGAAATAATACATAAAATGAAAAATAAGCCGACTTGATAATGTGCGCATTATTTTAATTGTGTGTTACCAACTTAACAGCGCACTTCAAACATAGTTCCGGCCAAGTTTAACCACTATTCGAAGTCAATAGGCGAGGTAAACAGTGAGTAAGCGTAGCCCAGGTAAACAGAGACAAGGTTTTTCTTCTCTGCCGTTAAAAACAAAAATAAAATGGAAAAACACACATCAAACCTGACTTTTTTTAAACGCAGGTGTGCTTGCAGTTTTACACAGAAGCTGGTGATGTAAGCGGAAGTATACTTTAGCTGCTAAAACAGTTACGAAAAACTGTAAACTGTCATCATTGAGCCCTGTTCTCAAAAACGGACATTCACTCTGTGAAGCTGAGAAAGTTTTCAAAACATGTTTAGCGCCATCTTCTGTCGGTAGGGAACACGACATCATGTGGTTGATTGCGGCTAACGGACTAGCATTAGTTTATGTTAGCTAACTACTGACAGTATCGAGAACAAAGAGGAAAACGAGGACACTAAAACTAAAAATCAGTTTTGTGCTGCCCCTGGCTGCAACAATGAGTTTTACATTAAGAAACTCCACCAGGGCAGGACCTCCAGACCTCCCTCTCCCTAGCCACCTCCTCCAGCCTTTCCGGGTGAACACCAAGGTGTTCCCAGGCCAGCTGAGAGATATCATCTCTCCCGCGTGTCCTGGGTCTGCCCTGTGGGCATACCTGGAACACCTCACCCAGGAGGCATCCTAGTGAGATACCCGAACCCCCTCCACTGGCTTCTTTCAATGTGGAGCAGCAGCGGCTCTACTCACGTCACTACCCGTCTTCAGCACGACTGATCGGTACAGTGTCCGCATCACTGCAGGGGCAGCACCAATCCATCTGTCAATTTCCCGTGCGTAAACTAAATAAATAAATAAATAAAATAAAAATAATCCCTGGACTGTCCTGTAGTTGCACACATTTTTTGACAAAATTCACCTACTCACCTATTGCCATCGACTTTAACATTTAACATGCTGACTGATGCTTGAAGTGTCTGAGATGCAGCTTTTACATCTGCTACATCCTGAAAGCACACTTGTAGCTGTACCCAATGACAAGAGGATGATTATTATTATTACACACTCCTAACACTAACTCTAACTGACTCTAACTAACTCTGCATTTCTGTTCTGCAGCCTTTGGTTCTTCAGCTCAAACTCTTGACATTTCTCCTGCGGTTGTTGTTTGGCTTCCATGTGTTTGTTTAGCTGATATTGCTTGTAGTCATTTTCTATTTCAGTTATCAAGTGGGCATCTTTCAGCTCTGCCACTTTCAGATGCATCTTTCTCTCCATTATTTCATATTTGTGCTCCAGCTGTTTAGGTTTTTTGTTTTCCTCCAGCTGTGCATAGTGGCTTTTTATGTTTTCCAGCTCTTGAGGCTGCGTAACCTTTTCCACCTCCATGTTCTCTTTCTTCAGTATTTGGTTTTCCTCCTCCAGATGTTTGTTTTTTTTCCTCAAGTTGCGTTTCTGAATCGACAAAGGTATCAACATGAAGGAAATTCCTTCTTTTGTTGAGGAGTCCATTGAGGCAACCCCTCAACATGTAAGTACTCTCTCGCGGTTTGCAGTTTTCCCTCGGAGATCTCGTTGGGATTAGCACAGTTATTTCGTGGGTGTCTGGGGTTATTGTTTCTTTAGGACAGGGCAGCAAACTAGAGATTTTCCAGTCCGGTTTTACATCCTTACATAGCACTGAATCAGCCATTTGAAAAATTTTTAATTACATATTTTTAGCTACTGATGCTGGTGACTGTCTTGTTCTTGTGCTTTTAGATGTGACAGCTGCGTTTGATACAGTGGATCATGCCATTTTACTCTCTCATTGGGAGCAGTCTGTGGGCATAAGAGGCACAGCACTGGAGTGGTTCAGGCTCTACTTGGCAGAGTGAACTTTTTGTGTCAGTCTCTGTGACCATGTGTCGTCCTCCGCTCATCTCTTGTGCGGTGTCCCACAGGGCTCAGTTCTAGGGCCCCTCCTCTTTTCTTTGTGTCTGCTCCCTCTTGGTTTTATATTGAGAAAACGCAGCATTGCATTTCACTTTTATGCTGATGACTGTCAGATCTATGTCCCTCTAAAGAAAAAAGGCACATATTCCGTACAGCCATTACTTCAGTGTCTTGATGACATTAAGGCTTGGTTGTCTCTTAAGTTTTTAAAAATCAATGACAAAAAGACTGAGGTGATGGTTTTTGGTAGCCTCACTGAGACCCCCAATGTGTATTTAGATTCTTTGGCCCTGTATAATAAGCCAACTGTCACAAACCTGGGGGTCAAAGTGGACTCTGAACTGAAGCTTGACGGTCAGATTAAGGCAGTGGTAAAATCTAGCTTCTTTCCGCTGAGGCAGTTGACTAAAATAAAACCAATTCCTTCATGGCAGCACTTGGAGACAGTTATAGAATAGAATAGAACTCAACTTTATTGTCATTGCACATGTCACAGGTACAGGGCAACGAAATGCAGTTTGCATCCACGCCTTTGTTAGCACTCGGCTGGATTACTGTAGTGCACTTTATATAGGGGTCAGTGCTTCATACATTACTCATCTACAGAGGGTGCAAAATACTGCAGCTTGTCTGTTATCTAACACTCGAAAGTGTAAGCACATTTCCCCTATTTTAGCTTCACTTCACTGGTTGCCCATTCCTTTTAGGATCCATTTTAAAATTCTTTTATTTGCTTTTAAAGCCCTCCATAGCCTATATCTCTCTGTGTTGCTACAGCCTTATACAATCACCAGCTCTCAGGTCAGCTGATCACCTGTTCCTGAATGTAAACAGGACTGAGCGTAAACTTAGAGGAGATCGTGCTTTTTCTGTAGCAGCTTCAAAACTGTGGAACAATCTGCCTTTAGAGATTAGACAGGTCTCTTCTCTGCCTGTTTTTAAATCAATTCTAAAAACCCATTTGTTCACCCTGGCCTTTGACACCACTTGAGATGTTGGTTTTTTTACTTGACTGCAGTGAGCTGATGATGTTGGTTTTAGTGAGATGTTGGCCTTTATTTTAGTTGTTTTTGTTGATTCTATGTTTTATGTTGTTTTTTATATAGGGCTGTTTTATTTTTTATGTATTATGTGTTTAACTTGTTTTTGTAACTTTTATTCTATTGTTCTTAACTTATTTACTGTACAGCACTTTGGTCCTGTGCTGGCTATTTTAAAGTACTTTATAAATAAAGTTGGATTGGATTGGAGTGTAACTAGATTCTGTCTTCTATCTTAGCGATAAGACGAGTGGAAATCCTTCTTGGATACTAGTTGAAAACGTGTAAAAATGCTTCTTCTCAGTACATCTTCGCAGGAGAAGTTTAGTGAAAGTTTGACGGACACAAAAACACTGAGGGTCAGACTGAACGCGGGTTCTTTACAAGCATTTCTTCTGATGACGTCACAGTTTGATGGCTCTTTGATCTCAGTGAGTTTGCAATGTAATTGGCTTATTCATACCACGTGACATTAATGAGTCTAATTCATCCAGTCATTGACCTAATGTGTTTAACTATTAGAGGTAAGCCACGTACTTTGCAAAAGTATTAATAAAGTTTCCCTCTGTGTCATGAATAATGAAGAATCCCAAACTCCCGCGCTACTCGCCAGACACCTGCTTCAGAAGTCATCATTCCATTCAATGGGCATTATTAGCAGAAATCAGCCCCATAGATATGGGCCAGTAGTGCCTTCTACACCTGCTAGTTTGTTCAGAAGGGTATTCAGATCATCATTCAGATGGAGGATCCTTAACAGGAGCCAGTGTGTACGGGTAAGACCATTTAAATGGACAGCATTAACAAAGTGACTATGAAAAGTCCATCCATTCGCTTCCGAATATCCTTTCCAGGGTCACGGGGGCGCTGGAGCCTATCCCAGCTGTCATGGGGTGAGAGGCCAGGGTACACCCTGGACAAGTTGCCAGTCTGTCGCAGGGCTAACGCACAGAGACAGACAACCAGTCCCACTCACATTCACTCCCGCATTTACACCTATGGGCAATTTACATTGATCAATTAACCTGTCCCCACTAACTGGATGTCTTTGGACTGTGGGAGAACTTTTAAGCAGTTTGTATAAGCTAAATGCTTATGCAACCTGTTGCAAGAGCTTGGTCTGCACAGCTGGCAATAAGTCGGACTTGTTTCCGGTGGGTGTTGGACTCTGTCAGGGACAGGGACAAATTCCTGCCCCAAGTGGAGGAGTTTAAGTATCTTGGAGTCTTGTTAACAAGTGACGGGAGAAGGCTGCAGTGATACAGCGTCTGCATCACTGCAGCCGCTGTATCAGTCTGTCGTTGTGAAGAGACAGCTGAGAGTAAAAGACAAGCTCTCAATGTACCGGTCGGTCTACATCCTTAACCTCACCTGTGGTCATGATCTGTGGATAGTGACGAAAAGAATGAGATCACGGAAATAAGCGGCGGAAATGAGCTTTCTCTGAAGGTTGATGAGTTCGGCCATCCAGGAGGTGGGTGGGGAGAGGGAGGTCTGGGCTTCTCTGCTTAGGCCGTTTCCCCGCAAACCGGCTCGGCATAAGCAGATGGATGGATGGATGTACTTGTAAGCAATAAAAAAATACTTTTACATCATTTTATAGATTATATAATTTACATTTACTTCCATCTAGAAAGTCAGCATATATTTAATTTGTGTTTGTATTTGGTGGAATCAATGTAAAAACAAAAATTAAAAATACAAATCTAATAAAATAATCATTATGTACATTAAAATGTAAAAAAATAAAATAAAGATGTGTCACACATTGGCCCTAAATCTTTCCATATGACTGGGTAGCATTACTAATTTAATTAGTATTCTTTCTTTTTTTTGCTTGACTGCATTTTGATGATTAATTATGTGCACTATTCGGCTTCTTCAGTAGGATTATAGCTTTTAGGCAAGTAAAAAGTCTAAATAAAATTTGACACTTTGCCAAGCAATTATCCAGTAACAAAGGTTTTGTTTAAGACTACCAACATTTAAACACCCGCTTTGGATATTTGAATGTTGGTAGTCTTGATGTAAGAGTCACACAAGTCAGTCATGACAAACGTAAACCCCTCAATTTCCAGGGGTACGATCGTTGTGACATCAGTTTTGGCAGTAATAAATTTGTTAATACTTTTAGCTAAATTTTTTATCCATAAATGTAAGTTTACTTATAAAACACCATATTTCTGTCATTTTCTTAAGGATGTGGAATTGTACATCCAATCAGTATCAGACTCCACCAACAAAAAAGCTCTTAAAACATCATATATATGTGAATTTTTGTGTGTATCCATATAATTATTTTTTTTACCCCTGGTTTTGTGTGTTCATGTTCTGTTCTTTTGTATACTTCATCTGTTCGTATGTTGTATACTCACTGTTTGTCCAATAAAGTTCTTTTTTTTTTTTTTTTTTTAAAAAGGCAAGCATTAAAATAAAATTTAAAAAAGACCAGTTTTGATAGACATTGCTTTCTTGGGCTCGCCACATAACGTCCTGCAAAAATAAATGAATATATAAAAAAGGAGTCACACAATAAAATAAATAATTTAGTCTTGTCTTCGTTTTTCTTTCAAAAAAGTCTCCCCTGAAATGACTAATTTTGTTTAAGAGCTATTAAAACAAATACAACAACAACAACACGCACAAAAAAATCACTCTGACCCAAGAAACTGACAAAATATGTCTTCATCTCAAAGTTTTCCACAAACAGAACTGCAAAATGGGCTTATTGTCAGGTCAAATGTGTGATATATGTGTGACAGAAATCCACACTGCACATTGATGTAGCAGTAACAAGCAACCTGTCAACCAACCCCGGTGTTCACCGGTCCAGCGTACCAGTGGAAACCCGCTCAAACAGAAGCGCGAGACGTGGTAGTTTTCTTTCTATTTCAAAAACAGGCCACAAGATGGCGCAACGCACTTTAAAAATAAACCTATATCCGTCCTTGCCGCCTATTTTAAGCCTTTTTTCAAATGGTTTGCTCACAGGTTTTGTCCACGGTGCTGTGGTTTTGTACATTTCCTGCTGACAAGCTGCAAAACATGACCCACAGTGTTGACTAAGTGGAGTTTCTGGCGCCTCGTAGTCTCGTCTTCCACCCGAATAACTTTTTTGATATTTACAGGTTTAGTTAGATGTGTTTAGTTAGTGTATTTGGATCTTCCTCAGTAATAATGACTTAATCATCTTTTTGAATAAAAGCATTTTTGATTTGAAGTATTTATTTACGTTGGTAATCCTTTAATATTCAGGGGTGGATCCAGTGTGTTGTGCGGGCAGCTCTCACCTGCTTTCTGCGCAGACAGCAGGTGGTCGGCGGAGCGGTGCCCTTCCCTGAGAAAGTGTGGATTAAACAGCAGCCACAGGCGCTGTGCCCACGTGGGATGTGTCCCACGTTAGAGCACCGCCCCTTAATCGCTGGACGCAGCTGCACAGAAACTACTGCCTGTCAGTCTGACTGAGGACGCACTTTACTTTCCACAGCAGTCCCGCAGCTCGATTAACCGAAGGCTCAGGCAGAAAGGCGCACAAGGTAAGTTCTGCTCTTTCACGCTGTGTACGTTTCTGATGTCATTAGTGCCAGCTGTGGGAGGTGTGACCGTGAGACACCTGATAGAAGTTTTTGATCCTGTTAAGCAACGCGATCAAAGTTAGCAGTTATTACACCGGGAATGAATGACAGGCACGCTGTTAGCGAGAAATCCAGGATTCACTCCAGTCATTACTTTGTATGCTGTTTCGTTTGTTTACTGATTTATCCACGATCACTGTTTCTCATGTCGTTGGAGCTTTCTGAACTGGTGCCAAAAACTGAAGCGTGATCATATCGCTTCCCGGTTGAAGGCTGCCTGGGAGCAGTCAGACATCTGACAGAGGCTCGTTCCTATTCTCTGATAACAAAAAAGGTTATCTGCACTTCGCCCAGCCTACTTTAGTTTAGTTTTGTTTGTTTTTGGTGCTGTTGTGCTGCTGTAAGCCATAAATCTTGTGTAGTGTGCCAGCCTGTCAAGCATGACTCCAGGGACCTTTAAAACCCGGAATGAGATCTTTTCTATGCATCGAAGTTCAAAAAGGTAAAGCTGCTGGTTAGTTAACTCTTCCTCTCATAACCACCTACTCAGTGGCTTCTAGACTCTAAATACCACCTCAGGCTTTATTTATTTTGAGCTGCACACCGACATACGTTGCATAATAAAGAAAGGTGTGGTGTTGGCTGCCTTTACAGGCCGGCTACTAAAAAGAAGCTCAATGAGAGGCAGAAGCCACCTGTTAATGTTTTGCAGTGTAACTACAAGTTAATACACAGCTGGACCTAGGATCTAGCAGGTCTTCCTGATGAAGCAGGAAAAAGCCCTTCAGCCTAGACTAATTTGTTTATCCTTCTTCCATGTGTTTCAACATACTGCACAAGCTCGCCGCCTGCTATGTTTCATATGGCTTGGGAGATGATTCATGAGACACAGTTTTCTGGAAGCTCTAAAGAGTCATACAAATAGCGGTAGCGCTCCTTCCTAGTGCTGTGTGAGCAATCATTTCCTGTGTAGTTTAAGAATGTGAAGTTTAGATACAGCTTAGGTTTGCCCATCGAACTGTGAGAATGAAAGATTGCTGTACAGTGCAGCGAGGAATGCCCAGACCTCTACATTGGAGAGACCAAACAGCCACTTCACAAGCGCATGGCACAACACAGAAGAGCCACCTCCACAGGATAAGACTCAGCAGTCCATCTGCATCTTAAGGATAAAGGTCACTCTTTCGAGGATGCCAATGTTCACATTTTGGACAGAGAGGACAGATGGTTTGAAAGAGGAGTGAAAGAAGCCATCTATGTCCACTGTGAGTGACCATCTTTGAACAGAGGCGGGGGTTTACGACACCAACTCTCTGCCATCTATAATCCAGTTCTGAGATCTCTCCCCAGACGCCTTAACGCCCACTCACACCCTGGGCCATCTGATCTCAGGAATTCGCATGATAAGGTGGGGCCAGGTTTCACAATCACCTGAAACTCTGGCTGATTGGGACCCACACCCAGTTTCACACCTTGGCTCAGGCGATTAGAGGATCATCAGGGGGTCCTTTTGTCCCTCTGTGGGGGGTTACTCCCACTAGGTTTATATCTGGGACTCTCCACCATTTGACCTTAGAACTGAAGAAGCTTCTCGGATGAGAGGTGAAACGTCTTCAAGTAACTTAAAGAAGTCCAGACGCTTTTCTTTGCAAGCTCCTTAGACTACGATAACCTGGATGACTGAGAACCTTCACAGACAGAATGAAAGATTATTCTCCAGCATGGAAAGAGTGGGGTTTTTTTTGTTTTTTGTTTTTTTTTAATCCCTGCTGGACTTTATATTTTATAGTAAACAACCTCTTTCTGCATCAACATCGAAATGCGACCGCAGAATTCTCCTCTAGCTCGAATTCCCCCTTCATTTACCCTTTTTTTGGCTTCATGCATTATGATGTAAAATGCGTTGGAAGTCACAGTAAACTGTATATTCTTGTCTCAGTGGCTTTGACGCTCGTGTGCCAAACATGGTGAGCTATGACAGATTCATCTGTGATTCCTGGTTGTCTCCTTTTAGCACTGAAGTGTACTGTACATCTGAAAGAATACACAAACATCAAGCAGCAATAGGGGCTGTACGTCAGATTCTTGAACCATTGTAACACATGAGGAACCAGTGCGATAAACTGACTGGTGAAACGGAAGCATACAAACGTCCCCATTTGTAAACTGCCACTTTACTGTTGAAAAAATGAGTGTGACAGGGTTCAGTAGCTTACATTGCAAATTCCCGTGGCAGCATTTCATTTTTAGTTTGCAATTACCAGCTTTACTGGAGTTTAACCTAACAACAGTCCCTGGAGGTTCAGTGAGTGCAGAAAGCTGCACAGCCCCCTTGACTCATGGTGCCAACTGAGGAACTACAGTTTTATGGTCCTTATGAAGGATCTAAAAGAAACGTTATTTAATAGACCAAAGTCTATCTTTAGTTTCAGGATAGTTATCAGGGTTTTAAGACCTTTGCCTGACAAAACAGGTAAATTTATATACGCACAGTGGGTGGCATGGTTGTGTGATGGTCAACACTAGTAAGCGCTAGTAATCACCTCACAGTAAGAAGAGCCTGGGTTTAAATCCACTGGCCTGAGCTGTGGCTCATGCTCGGTGATCAGAAGGCTGGTGGTTCAATCCTTGATTCCTCCGCTCCGCATGCCAAAGTATTCTTGGGCAACATGTATCTACTGGAGTGTAAGTGTGTGAATGCTAGACTGTGGGAAGAAAAATTCCCTTTAACAGGAAAAGCCAGGCTCACCGAGGGCCAGCTATCTGCGATGACAGGTTGGGCTGAGGGAAGGAAGACAGCACAAAAAACCTGCTCTGGAAGAGAGATTAATAACTAATGATTAAATAAAAAGTGGTGTGAAGCACATAGTGGGTGAAGAAGGTGAGTGAACACGAAACATTTAGTGCATTATGGGAAGCCCCTGGCAGCCTAGGCCTATTGCAGCGAACTAAGGGAGGATTCAGGGTCACCTGATCAGGGTCATGGTCAAGGTTTGATAGAGGCCGCAAGGATCTTTGGGGTGGAACAGGGTTGGTGAGCAGTTTCTAGATCTGTGCAACAGGGGCTTATCTTGCAGGTGGTGTGCAGGCATCCAGGTGAAAAATATGAAGTCAGGTTGAGTTGAAGGGAAATTTGCCCCCTGCTCCCTTAACGAGTTGCCACAGTGGATGGCTTTCCTCCATTCCTTTTTTAAAAAATCGTTTCGTTCCTTTTTTAGTATTAATGATTGGTGAAACTGTGGGACTTTTGAGTCATATTAATGATTGTGAAGGTCGTGATTGTGCTAATACATTTCACAGTTCATGGTGTTTCGACCCAGTTCTGCCTCTGAAACAGTGTTTGTTGCTTGGTTAGGATTAGGTTAGATGGTTACAGTAATCAAGACATCTACTTGTGAGCTTGTCGAGTATTAAAATCACTGAATGTCTTTGTGAACTGAAATGTTAAAAATATGTGAGGTACAGTAAAAACAATGAGTTTCACACAGCCTGAAACACTGACCCAGAGTGGAAGCTTGTAGTCATTATTGCCAGGGAGGTGTTGTAAACTTTCTCCTTCCTCTCTGCAATATGTTTCCTTCCTTGTTCCACAGCATAAAAAACAGGCACATGTGTCCAGGCATCAGCTACACTAAAAGAGACAGGAGCTCTGGGAGATAGGTGCGGCCCGTCGTTCCGTGTGGTCTGCTGCTTAATCATCTGCGCCATGGTTAAAGTTCCTATTTGACTCGTAGGAGTCATCTCTGCCACTTCAGGTCAGCTTAAAATAGGACAGCAAACAAACACATTTCTGCTTCCCCATTTCTACATTACAACATTGGCACATATCGCATATAAACACAGTTAAGCTGGAGCCACTGAAGGACCGACACAGCTGTAGTAATTTTACTGCGGTGCGGTGCATCACCTGAAGCGTTAGCCTGATGGTACCAAACTCTGACTCTTATTGGGTTGAACTTTGTGCAATTTTGTGGGTTTTTCTGGCGCTAATCAAGTTTACAGAGTCTCTTGTTTACATGTTTTTGCTTGTGACGATGTCCTTTCGTATCATGTGCTGTTTTCTTTTGCAACATGACACTTGTCTATTCCAAGACTAGCTTTCATGATTGCTGGCGTGCAGAAGCTGCTGTTCCTGCCAGGCAGTGATACACGGCTGTCCAAACCTTTAATGTGCCTCTCTGTGGTGTGAGTGGTCCAAGTTCACTGATATGTAATGTTAGGTTGTCGTGAGTCCATTTATTGGTTTATTAAGGAGACTGTAGGGACTTCTAATAACGTGTAGGTAGATGTAATAATTGCTCTTGTAAATTGTTGGTGTCAGTGCGACTCCTGATAAATTATTCTCTGATAGAGCCATGTGGAGAACACGCCTTGCAGGTCAAATGGGCCTCCAGAAAGCAGCCCCGAAGCTTCACAAGTCTGCTCCCGTTTGAGTGAATTTAGACCTTTCCCCCTCTGAAGTTGACTGATGTATACTGTGATCTGTCAGTCTTTCTACCTATCTCATGACAAATCTTCCTTTGTTTTGGCAATGCTGCCTGAACACGCAGCCAGATTTCTGAGAGCTGAGATAATACTGTGGAGCTTTGGGGCCTGGTGGAGGGCAGAGCCCACAGGCTGAAGTCCACATGAGTGCAATGTTTTCAGAGGCAAGCTGCCTGCTTATCAGGTCTACAGAGGGTTCCTTCCTGGTTTTCTTCAATCCAGTCTGTAATTACTGTTGCTGGCTGACGGCACTACAGTATGTGCATTTCCCAGCACTCCCAATGTTTTCCTTGTGTTGTCAGCTTCCTATTGTATCCTGATAGCCAGAAGCTCCGTGCTCTGCAGAAACAAATGAAGACAGTGCATTGACACTTGATCCAGTTTCTTACACTGTATTTATTGCCTTTAGGTTTAAAGCACAACCAATGTTTTCACATGGTGTTGTTCAATCACTGATTGTCTTACACTCAGTGAGT